TGTGTGTGTATGTATATATATATATATATATATATATATATATATTTTCTATACTTTCAGGAATGACCACACAACAGAAAGCAGCTCAGATATAGGAGCTCAGACAGATGCTATTGGATAACCTGAGTCTACTGTGGCCCCATACCAACTCTGAAATAAAATAACCTCTGAAATAACCATAGCTTAAGTCACTATGAAGACAGTCCCTCATGTGGGGCAAACTAGGAGCATCCATGGAATCAGCTATGACACCTCCTCAGCTGGCCATGTGTAAATGTTTATCTAAACTCTGGTAACTGGATTACTTTTCATTAGATAGTATATCTTTATTCAGCCTTTATTGCTGAGAAAAACAGATACCAGAGAGTTTTAAGTGAGAAAAAGATGATAGAAAGTAGACAACTGCTAGTTCATAATGAATACATCTATTCAAAGACAGACTGTTCCTTCCTAATAATCTGACCACATCTGCTCCACCTGCAGCTTCTCTACTGGGAGGGCAGGTGATTCCTGAGGTATTATTGAGGTGCCCTAACACAGCTAGGTGAGTACATCCCTACAGCAAGAGAATACCTAGAGAAACTGATCACACTAATTTCAGAGACACTGACATCTTAGATAATGCAGATAATTATCTCACTCTAAGTCAAAGCAGGTGTCAGGTACTGAAAATAAATGTCCCATCTCACAGTAATGAACTTTGCAAAGTGCTAAAGGCAACAGCTTTTAAATTGCTACCAAGTTTTTGTTAAAATGTTTTTTCTAATATGTTTGAAAATCCCCTTCTCTAAACGCATTTAACTTTAAAGAATATTTTGAAGAAGTGCGTTCCTTCATCTTGAATGAGTGTACATTGTATTTTTCACAAAGTCAAAAATACAGCTATCTGTGTTGACTCTAACAATACCAGAGGATTCAAGGAGTAGTGACAGAGGCAGTCACCCATGAATGGTAATGTACATTTAGCTGTCCAAGATAAACTGAACTGGTTCTGTTCAGAACACATTGGTAATAATAACCAAGCCATGTGGGTTATCCTACACAACCTAGGTCACAAACACTGCAGAGCTCAACCCCCATAAGTGGGTATTTCTTCACTTAAGCAGGAAAGCCCACACAGGACATCACGCCCTGACTGGCTCTGTGCTAGCCTGAGGACTCCTTTGGACCACTCAGTGATTTTAAGCATGACTCAGGTGCAGCCAGGATTCATTCTATGTTTAGTGTGAGGCTGTGCAAAGTGAGATAAGTGAAGCCCAAATATTTTGGCTGTGGGGAAGGACTGATACCTGAACAGAAATCCAAAGACATATTAGTATAGTAAGTCAGGTAGGCAGTAGCTGTCTGGAGGAGGGAATTTTCCAGAATCTTTTAGAAATGGTTTCAACTTACAAAAAAGAGGATAAATCAATAAGATGTTGGTAAAACTGCTATCAGGAGTGTAGCCTCACCTGGCCACCTGTGACTCTCAAAAACTCACTTCTGCAGACATATCTAAGACCTGTGTTATCAGAACCATCAATGGAAAGTAAAAGTTATAAAGTATTTCTGAGCAGTCATTTTATAACCTAGCTGCCGCTGCTTTCTCCCTTCCCTCACATACTAATGCATGTAAGGATCCTCACAGTGCTAGAGAGCAAGATCTTTGCAGCAGGGATTTGTAAAAGACTTACAAGTTTTCCTGAAATGCCTGACAGAGTTCTGACTGTTAGAAAGAAAATAAAAAAACTGGATGCCAAGCCCAAACACACATTCTAATATATTTTGTAACATGCTGCAGCTGAACTTCACAGCTTTCTTGCATAAGGAGTGAGATATTATTATATTATGTGCTTTACATAATCTCATGTAATTAAGTCGGTTTGCATCCAGTAAATGAAGCTCCTTCAGAGTCATTCCTGAAAACCTCTTTTTCAAAAATCTCCCCCACTGTCTTACTCTCTTTATGTTCATTATCATTTCCCCAAATGATGTAGAACGCTACTGTTCTCTCTGCAGCCACCATAACTGTTAATCTTGTCTGATGTAGTCTGGCATTTAAATGGGTGATTCGTCACCATGGAGGAGATATTTAGCACTGGACAAATGACTGTACAGTTGTGTACAGAGGAAGGAAATCATGTTCTTTCCAAAGGAATTTTACCTATAGTAAGTCATTCAATTTTTCCAGAGGTGTTTAAAGAAACATAAAAGCATGTACTTGCTGCAGAATGTCCTTAAGATTTTGAAAAGACTAATTATAACGAAAGTTTGAATATAATCAAATCATTTTAGCCTGCTGCATTTAAAAACATTTTTTTCCATTAACATTTATTATATGTGTGGAGAAATATCAAAATCTTAACTACGTTCTGTTTAGCTGGTTCTATGCATAGTTAACCATATTAATCTACAAAACCTTTGTATACAGTTAAAATTATGATTATTCAAATATGATGACTGCTAGATTATTTTTTTCTCTACCTCCTTGTTCGCTCTCACTAGAACATCCAGTATGTATCTCTGTATATATGTACCTTTGAGATGAAGGAAGTGTGCTTTGTGTTTGCTCCTTATTCTTGATGATGATGATGACAACAGGCCAAATTAATTTCTTTTTCAAAATGAGGGAATTTAGCAATCCTTAACTCAAAGATGTTTAATAGTTCAACATAAAGGCAAATGACCACCAACGCAAAAATATCTAAAAGACCTAAATATCTAAAAATGCTTAGAAGGTGGATTTGTTAGTATTAAGTACAGTAAAATGTGTCAATCCCAAATCACTTTAAAAAGGCTTTCAAGTTTACTTTTTTGGTACAAAGCACTCATCCGCAGTCCCTTTCTTCTTACTCAGTCTGCCAGGAAGCTGTGTGGGAAGCCTTTCGTATTTTTCTGGATCGAATTCCCGATACTTCGGAATATCAGAACTGGGTTACTGCCTGCCAGAGGGAAACCTTCTGCATATTTGACATTGGCAAAAACTTCAGCAATTCCCAAGAGCACCTGGAAATAATCCAACGGGTAAGGATCACTGACATTTGTTTAGAAACTGGGAGGAGACTTCCACGTCCCTCCCTACCTTCTTATATAAGGGCAAAGTATTGCTCAGGAAGAGGAGGGGGCATGTGTTAGAAAGAAAACATAAAAATACAGTAAACAAAAGAGCTAACAGGCTTCTGCTCAATGGTTGGATACACCCACTAGTAAAATGCTGTTTTTCTTAATCTTTTTGCAGCGAGTAAAACATAGAACCTTCCAGGAAAGGTAAGTAGCACAAGTAGAACCTTGACACTTGATGTTACTGCCTTTTTTGAAAAAGATATGTGTAGGTGTGCGTGGATGTGAACAGATATACAGGTAGCACTGTATTTGGTGTGTGCTGTGAGAGATGTGTATACTCTATGTACCATAGTACACAGTATTTGAATCACAAATAATGAAGGTGGAAAAATGTTTGAGTTGCCTGTTTCACCCTGAGACACCACAGAATGTCTTCTTAGACTAATGTGAGCATGAAACCCTGACAGAGCCATGACTTCGCATTAGACTAGTGTTGATTGGGAGCGTGACAAAAGGTTACCTACAATTGGTACAATTCTCAAAAGGAAAGTCAGAGAACTTAACAACAGCTTATCTATCTGGGAGGCTACATTAAGCAATAATACGAAAGCTCTATGCCTTCACTTTAGTTTCCCCCATGAGAGTGTTAAATAATATGATGCTTTATTCCCTAAACTCTTGGGAAAAATTATGTTCCTAGCAATGCTCAGAAGTCTGAGAACGGCAAGATTAAAGTTGCAGTACTGAACTCTGTCTCTCTGCATATAAATAGTATATCATTGTCCACAGTTTCTCTCATTAATGTATTACTTTTTACTTAAAATTTGCTTAGATTTTCAGGTGTAGCAAGTAATCTTTTCCATTCATAGGTTACACTGTCTCATGATCACAGTAGTCTTATCTTTATTCATTAAGACATGGGAGCTTTGAGCGTTCTTCTTTCTCAGAAATGTATTTTTAATAATTTAGGGCCTAACTGAGCTCCCATGGAAGTCCAAAGGGAGATCTTTTCACTCAGTGTAGTGCAAACAGCAGCAGAAAAGCAATAAGTGACTGATCTCAAAGTTCTAAACGCTCTTTGTGAACAGTATAGTTTTCCCTAGACACAGTTCAGAAGGTGAAGTAAATTCAATGAAAGTACTTGTATTTTAGCTGGAAATATAGGCAGCTGTGATTATGCATTGTTGGATTTCATCTTTACTACTGTGTGGATTGGGAAACATTTTGTATCTTCTGTAGATGCCATGTAGAGAGATTAGTCTCCAGTTAAAGACAACACACACATTGTGAAAATATTACAGATAATACTTTAGTTCTCACTACACAAAATACCCAGAGGATGTGGTAAATCACGAGTTGTTCATGTCCTTTGTTTTCATTATTAAACATCGAGGTTGGTACTGCATAGAAATGCAGCCCAGCCACCTCTTCTGTCTAGGCTACAAGCTTCATGTTGTCTCAATTAACACAATACGCATTTGCAGTGCCTTTAGTTCTTTCACTTGACCCATTTTCAAACACTATACCTGTGTGCACTGCCTTAAAAACAGGTATTTCTACCTACATTCTGATGAATTCTGTGCTCATTTACTTCCATGATTGGGTTTTTTATTTCATGCTGTGATTTTTTTCCACACTCTACTTAGAACCCAAAACAACTGAAATTCTCCCCCCAATTTCAGGAAGGAAAAATCTCAAAATGTGATTTAGAAGATTCTTATCGGAGAATCTAAATGTTTCCAAAAACTACAGATGAATAAAAATTTGGTTTTGGAATATAAGTTATTTTATAACCTTAAATTCAAGAATCTTTAACACATCTATTATAAAATGTACTTATATAATATATACATACCACTTCTGCTTTCCAAGCAAGCTAAGAGTTGCAGTTATAAAATTTACAGCCCATGACTCTAAAACTTACAAAAGAAAATAATATCAACATTTCAAAAATAAATTCTATGATGCACCATATTCTTACTTGAGTTTTCAGCTATCTGCCATGGGGACCATGGTAGGCATTAATCAATGAATATTGCATCCAGATCCAAATGTAAACATTCCTACAGTTTGTAATAATCTTGATCCAGGAATCTGATTTGAAACTATAATTATTTGGAAGCTTCCTTATGCTATTATAATGTAGGCTAACAACTGAAAAATACATTCATCCATCCTCTCTTCACACCAAACCATATGAAACACCCTTGGGACTATGAAATGTCCATTGGCTCTAAAATTAGAAGCCCAAAGTCCTCGCTAATCTTGATAGGATGAGATACAGCAGGCAGTAGTTGATTTAGATAATGTAGAACAAGTCTTGCTTCCATTTTAGTCAGTGCATGAGCAGACTCACAAGATCAGTAGACCTTGGTAGAGGAATATGTCAAATCAGTCTTTTTGTTCACTGTAAGAGCAAATACCATATTGAAGGAGAGGAAAGGAAATATATAAACTGATGAATCTAAAATATGATCTACCATTCCCTTGCCTGTTTAACCAGTTTATCATATATTCCATTAGAAATAACTTCTCTCATTTAAAGTACACTTAATATAGGGGTCATTTCTGCATCCTTTTTACACCTTTTTCATTGCCAGTACAGCATGCTGATCATTAAATCACTCATTTCTATTTGATTGATAGGAAAGATGAAATATCCACAGGGAAAACAGGTGGCAAAAAGATAGAAGACACTCCTTCCATTTCTACAGGTAAAATCAGATTTGCTCGCTCTGCATCTGCCCATTATATAGAATTGCTAAAACCAGTGATTCATAGATCTTAGAAGGCTGTAATTTAATGAATACAGTAGAAGCATGACAAGTTCAGTGAAGTACAATGAAAATGTTTTAGCAAAATAATCCGTAAGAGGCATTTTTTTATTTCTTTACAGCACATCTGCTACTAAAATGTAGCATTCCAGGTTTGTTTCAGTCTTTAAATGCATATGATTTCCTAGTTTCACCTGTAGAGAATAGAGCTAATTTTGCTTCGGTTCTGAAATAACATTTAGTGTCAGCTGCTATATTTTGTTAGCCAAAATAAGCAAGCAGATGAAAATAAAGTGTTACTTTAGCCAGTGATGCCAAGACATTAATTTGAGCAGATTATGCCAATCAGACCTACAAACACTGTTGTGTAATACAGTTCTTTAAAACAATGTTAGAAATGTATGCAGTGACAAAAATCTGTACATATGAACATTTCGGTTCAAGGAGGAAACACCCTGCACACATATTTTTATGAGGGCCAAATATGTCAGAATCTCCCTGACAGCAGCTTCCAGCATGGTAATTTTGCCTCTATCTGTAAAACACTGTCAAAGCCTCTTGTTACTTTAAATGGAGCCCTAAAGAAAGGTGGCTGTCATAGAGACAAAGGTCTCAACTGGCAAAGTCAAGGTTAGACATTTGGTGATCTGTAATGTAGTATGACAAGAAATGATCAAATATTATTGTTTAATTCACACAACTTTACTGATGCATTTTTGCCTTCAGCCACACATGCAACGCTACTGATGTTTTGACCTGGAAAGAAAAGCCATTTATTGTATAAAAAGTAGCAGCTTTACCTATGCCATAAGTCATGACCACTTTTCGCTGACGCAGGCTTGCACTCAGGCACACCCTTCATAAGGAAAGCTTCTGTAGGGAGCTGACACCTGACCAGCAGAGAAAGGGGAAGATTTTTTGTTGTGCAAATCTGCTCTTGCCTGATTTTTCTTTAAACCCCCCCAGGCTCCCCCGGCACACCCCTCTCTCCATATGCACCTGTACCTAACGGCACACTGCTCAACGAAATTGTTAACGACACGAAGACTCCTGTGAAGGTGAGGGCAGTCTGTTTTCCTATTCCAGTTTTTCACTCACCTCTTCCTTTTGATTCAGACTGATATGCTTGCTGCTCTTTTGGGCCAGTTTCTTCTTGATCATTGTCTTGCTCTTGTTGTGGGTTTTTTTGTTTATCCAAGGTATAAAAAGTCTGGCTAAGAGTAGAATTGTCCTTGAGCAAATAAAAATATAAAAAAAGTGTTTAAAGAATACAAATTATATAAGTATTGCTAGGTAAACATGCAATGTATATGCAGTACGTGCAGCAAAGAAAAAACTTATTTTGTGTTCCAAGACCTTCATATTTTTAACAGGTGAACTTTATAGCAACCTGAAAGGTTTTATTCTGAAAAAAAAAAAAAAAAAAAAAAGGCTATTTTTTGTGTAATAAAATACATTGGCAGTGAAACATAGGTATGGTGTTAACTAATGTGTTAACATTAGTAGCAAGATTTGTGAAGAAGGACTGAGAGATTGGCAGAAGGCAGAGTTTCCTGGATGGCCTCTATGCATCACTTCTTGAGGTACTTCCATTCCAAGATTTGAAATTTGAAGATCAGCTTTGTTTGTGAATAAGAAGCAAGAGATACCTTCTGATCATAATATTAGCAAATGTGTAGCTTTGAATCTAGGATGCATTAGGAAATCATTCTGAATGTGCCCATAGTGGCATTACTCCTTGTGGCCAGCACATCATAGCCTAAAGATGACTTGACTTTTGGAGTTTAACATTATTAAAGGAAAAAATTAGTAAGTGTAGGCCAAAACAAATAGTGTCAGGAAAAAACAACTGAGTAGTTTTAATAGACCTAATTCTACTTTATTATCAGGAAAAAACAAGTGCAAGTGTCTGAACATGAAGCAGTAAGAGAGAGTCTGGCAGTCTGCTCTGGTTGTGTTTTCTGAGGGTAGGATACCAACTAGCTGTTAGCACTTCCTTGTCACTTTCCTCAATGTCATACACTTTCCTCCAAAGTGGAGGATATAAGAAGACTTGGTAACACTCTCTGTGCAAGAAATGGCTTGATTCTCTTTGTCACCTTCATTTATGCATATCAAAGGCAGCTCTCAAGTCGCAGTAATAGAAACCTATTTGCAAAGGCAGAAGAATTAACAGATGTGTCTAGGAACCCTCACTTTTTGTAGGATATAGTTCAGAAAGTTATTTGAGGGATGGGCTTAAGAGTGTACCCTTCTACCTATTAAATACTGGAGCGTGGGGAAAAAATCACTTAGTTTTATTTCTCTCTGTTTCTTTCCTCTTCTTTTCCAGGAGTTGGGAACAAATACAGTCCCAGAACTGCCTGTGGAACAAATGGTAGAATTCAGTGTCACTCTCACTGATCAGGAGTACACAGACGAACTTAACGATCCCAACTCCCCACAGTACCGACAACTAGCTGCCAAATTTCAGCTACAGGTAAGGAGACTGAGTGAACCCAAAATGTTGGCTTTGTACCTTGGCTGAGATTCATACTATGAAATTACCTTCACCATGAAATAGAATTAGAAACTACTGCCCTCACTTGGAATAGATCATTCCTCTTGTCTCAGGACCTTCAGTTTTCTATCACACATAGTCAGCTTTTCCCTTCATTTAGGCCATCTGTTCAGCCATCAATCTAACAGGCTAACGTCTTTGTCAGCAGTAGAACCTCAAATAACTGATGAACGGAATAACTTTAGGAATATTATTCAGGCTTAATCAGGAATTCACGGACAATACTTTGTCATAATTTAATTTCTGCAGTGAACCTAATGAGAAATGTAATATAAATGTTAAAGTAATTAGCTACAGTTTTCTGAACTATTCTTCAAAAGATTTCCATTCATTTTGTTGTGCTTTACCATAGTTTCTGTAAGAACTGGAATATCTGTGGTGTTTTCATATATTTAATAATATTAACTGAATGTTGAGCTATCAACTTAATAGATAGCAGTTAATAACTTGAGGTTCCCAAAAGGTTTTCTTAGTAGAATTAACTAAAGCTTCTCATCAGTTTCACAAGCATTCCTTAGTGCAAGCTATTTCACTTTCAAATATGCATAGAGAAATGGAGCAGGATGTGTTGGTAGAGCTGATAAAAAGTGGTTTCTCTGAAGATTTCCAGTATTATCCTCAAACAGAACTGCCTGCAGACTGTGTTTACTACACATATAATGATGTAATTCAGCAATCCCACTTCTAAGCTCTTCCATTAATTGGACAGGGAGAAATGCAAAGTTTCTTCATTGTTATTTTCCATTGTCATCATTTTTTATCTGTCACTTTTAAAAGTCCAAAGCAGTTCTTGACATGCAATGTTGAATTTGTAATTTAGTACCATGACATACACCTGATGTGCTTTCCTCCAAAGATAGGTCATAGAGGAGACAGAGGGCAGTCGTGATACAGGACAGTTTTACAAGTGCACTAGAAGGGTAAGTGAGGAGGTTAGATTCAGAATTAAAACCTTGTCCAGGGACATGAGCTTCTGTACAAATTTCAGAGAAGCCTTTGCAAAGGTGGAGGCTGTGGAATTCCAAGCTCAGTTTCCAATTCATTCCAGGACATGGCAAGACGGAAGACTTACAGCAGACATTACAGTGAAGGTGTTCAGAAGTACATCTGTATACCACAACATACATTGAAAATCACATGAGGAATGGAATGTTGATTCAGCTGCTTACGCTACCAGTAAATTGAGATTCATTTAGCAAAAGTAGAAAACAGAAAGCTACATATGTACATAGAGTCAAAAGAAAGCATCAACTTTGTTTTGATATAAAGAGAATCTTGGTTCTCTTCTTCTTGAAGAGACTGAACAGAGTCCATGCCAACAGTCAGCATGGCTAAAGAGGGATTCACTTACCTGAACATGGGTATCTGGTGTCATTTTAGGTGCCCCACATTATCCAATACATCTGCAAGGGCCTCTCAAATACGAGAGCGCTGTACTCTTTTCAACCAGCGGGTGAACAGATGACCTTAAGGCATCTAAAATGATAGCACTTGCCTAAATTTAGGAAAATTGATTGCATCCTATTGATTTAGGCCCTTAATCTCTTTCAGTGACCATTAGTCACATGAATAACGTTTAAAAAATCTTCCCAGTCTGTTACTTCTGCTTTACTAAGCAGACCAAGCCCAAAATGTTTACCTCAGTTCCTCTCCTACTGTCCTCTTGTGAGAGATGGGTAAGGGGAGTGTAGATAGAAGGCCATTTTCTGCACTGGACATTATCTTCTCTTCTGCTTGCTGCAATGAAAAAGACATCTAGGCTTATACAGTGTGGTTGGTACCTGGTCTTCACAGAATCACACAGAATCATCTAGGTTGGAAAAGACCTTGAAGATCATTCAGTCAAACCATTAATCTTATACTATTAGTCTTGTACTAACATATTGATCTTCTGCTACTTCTTCTTCACTTAACCTACAATAGAGATGCAAAAAAAGCTGCGGGACTGACCACTCATTTCCTACCAGTTCTGACAAACTCCTGTGCATCAATGAATGGGGTTTAAATTTGTGCTGTGTTTGTACAGAATCATATAGCTAAGGAAGAAGAAAGATCACCACATTAGTTCATATACTTTTAAAGTGATATGCTGAATTAAAAGGACCTGATTTCTCAAAAGGTTTTTCCACTTTTCAAGTGCTGAATTCCCTCAACTCTACAGGCTTTGCTTGCAGATGAAAGGCTTAAATGATACGTTGCCTGGTACTTAACAGGACCAGGAAGTGAGTCAGAAAGGAACTGTGGAACTGTGTGTTTAAAAAAAAAAAAGCCTTTCCTCTGACATAGTAGATGTACGTAAAATATTTCATTTCACTTAGCTGTAAAAATGTTGCTATAATTGGAATAGACCAAAAGATCAATCATCTGGATCTCAAAACACTGTTATTCCTTGAGGTGCTGATAAAAATACTTATTATCCTAAAGTCTGAAAAATGTATACAGAATTCACCTTTTCTACTCATTATTCTTCATACTGTCTCCTCTGTTCAAAACCACATAATTATATAATTGTTTACATTAGAATGAAAAATATATGAAGTTACTCTATTCATACAAGAGAGTTAAAACTGTTCAATTTATAAACAATTTGTCAAATAATCTAAATCCATCTGCATTTGGTTAATATTTCTATATAATTAACAATTTACAGTTAAGGTAACATGAATGAAAAAACTATTCATGAACAAAAACTGCTGACAATGAGAAAAAGATTTGATTCATGTTGTTTGACTTGCTCTATTATGAACTCGATTGTCACTAATTTACATAATTACATTACTAAAAAGAGCTGTATTTTGTACTTCATTTCGCCTATTAACAGGTAATACAGGCAGCATATACATATTCTGTTTAAAAGTTGAGCAATGATGATACCACAAAGAGAGGAGTTGAGTCTGTTTCGTAAATTTCTTTCTGAAATATGAAAAATATTGTCTAGGTAGTTAACCTGTGCTTGCTTTTCAGCAGTCGAACTTACACTGAATTAATGATTTTATGCTTTGTCATAGATGCAAAAGATATTTGAGAAACTTCCAGGATTCAAAGAAATCCATGTATTGGGATTTAAGTAAGTAAGAAAATGGGACTCATTTTTCTACTGGCTACTAAGATTCTCCTCTTCCTTCTTTCCTTCCAATATGAATAGACCTATATAGTAGTGGGGTGTATCGCTATAAACAGAAAATAATTTTCTGGGAACGACACAGAGACAATACGGAGAGAAGTACAAACACATCCCAGGGGAGACTATGAGGTTTTGAATTACTATGTAAAAGCAGTTTTGATACCCTGAGGGGTGAAGGAATCAGAAGATCCTTTGAAATATTTGCTAGCAACATTGTATTAAGGACGTTCTTAAATGACAAGGTAAAGAGAGTTAGGAGTGCGATTATTCAAGTGGCTACGTTTTTGTGTGGGGGTCCTGTGCCCTTCATAGATCACAGCGAGGGTGCCTTGGCAAGAGAAGGTTGCAGGAGGATACATGTTCACACGTATAAAACCTTTCCAGTAGGTGACTCCCAGGTGTGTCAAACAATTAAAAACGTTTCATTTTTTAATAAATTTCTGTTCTGTCTTACCATTTCTTTTAGTTTTAGCTTCCTTGCATGTTTACTGCTAATATAAGCTATTGTGTATTTTTTTCAACAATCTATGCAGGAGGGCAGGATCAAAAACTGAGTATTTGATATAGCTCTGCTTCTATATACAAGTGCACATTGTGTAAAGAATCAAGGGAAAACCAAATTATTGGTAGTAAGAAATAATATAAAATTGGAAAGGAATAAATAGCAGGAAAAAAAATAAATAAATTCATGTGGGCTTATGACACAACATCAGGAACATTCAGTCCTTGTAGTAATGTTTAATACACGTTGAAGAACATTCATATTGCAATGAAATTTTAGGCAAGAGTATACTTCTTCCTAGCTTTTGTCTGTGCAAAATTTCTGGGGGAAAAGAGAGAGAAGAGCAAAACAGAGTGAAAATTAATTGTTTACATTTTGATAATGAAAGTAGGAAAACAAAAAGCTGGCTACTGTAGAACAAGCAAAGAAAATCTGTAGTAGCATCTCATCCTTGCAATAACTAATCTCTTTCAGTTGCGTCTCCAGGAGATCTATGATACATTTCTGTTTAGTATCTTGGTCTTAGGAGCTGATATGAAAGTACATGTATCAGTGTGGAAGATCAGGATTGCTCTCCATCATCTAGTAATCTAGTTAGCTCCTCAGAGTTATAGATCAGCAAAGAAGACAGGTGTTGCTGTCCATTCTCCCTTAGCCATCTTGCTACATATATTAGCAGCATTTGCCACAAGGCAATATGGAAGGACAACATTAGAAATATACTAGAGAATTCATCAGGGAGAATAACAGGGCATTATACTACAGAAGGTCAACATAGGCATGTCTTCCAGAGCTAATAAATACGTCAAGTTACCCCTGTGACTAGGATCTGGGTAGGCACCATGTGTGGTAACAGTTGCTACCACTGTCTGCAGGTGTTCATTGACACCATAAAGATAACAGGTTAGCAATGGCAGTGCTCACATTGCACCGTTTGTAGTGGGAAATAGGAAAGCAAATATTTCAAACTATCAAGGTAAAGTAAAACTCCTGTTTCTCCACTCAAAACATGGAGATTCCCATTGTTTGTAAGGGGAAAAGTGAAATAGAGTAGGCTGTCATTTTCACACAGAGATAAAAATTATAGGTGACACATAGAAGATAAAATGGTCAGAAAATGGTTTTGATGTATGACTGATTGATTTACCAATATACATGAATCTTTGTTTTTCTTTCTTTTGCAATCCTTTATCACACCCTTTCTACTATGATGAAATGAAGACAGAAGAAGGAGAAAGATGGGTAATTTGTAATTCATAACTAAGATTAAGCATTTTATAGACTATTATATGTACATAGATAGATACATCAATAAACGTTCTTTATTATGATGTGACAAAGTGAATTGATTTGTGTTCTGCCAAAGTACAAAATCTTTGCTATAAAGCAGCAGGGACAGCTTTTACCTTAATCTGAAAGGTTCATGTAATCAAATTTTGTCAGGATCTCTCTGAAGGGAGGAAAACTGTTTGACCTAAGAAAAGTCACATTCAGATAACTGAAGATATCACTCATAAACTGACAATGAAAAAAAACAATATGAGAAACTTCATATTTGAATTTTCATTTTTGATCTGCTGTTTCATAGCTGTAATTCTCATATCCACATTATCTTCAATAAATATGTAGAATTTGATTTGTTATTTCCATTGTCAGGCCAGATAGAATGGCAGAGACCAGTTACTAGCTTGATAAGCATGGATCTTTTAACTGGCAGTGCAAACAGCTACACAGTCTGTTGTTGTTGTTTTTATTTAAAAGTGCTTCTGGGAAATAATTTTTAGCAGCTCCCAGAACTTCTATTCCACTCGTAGTTTAAAAGGAAGAATTGTCTAATGCTTTTCCTGGATTCTTGCAATGTCATAGAAATGTAAATACATAGCACATACTAGACAAAGTCAAATTCCTCTGTCTCCAGTTATTTGATTTTAGAAAAAGCAACATAGTGATGTACAAATGTTTTGCAATGTACTCATTATTTTTCATTTTAATTAGGTGATTTTAGCATTTATGAAAAATGATGTATTAAAAATGGTGAAAATTTGAGACTTCTGTTAAACAAATACATTTAGGGAGAAAATATACACATTCATTTGGACTTGGAAAACCTATCTGCCATTGTGAAAAGTGATTTCTTGACACATTAACTTTCTTGCTGTTCAGCAAAAAAGCGTAAAAAGTTATCCCATATGTGATAGGATTTTTGCTTATCTGTAGTTTTATGAACTATCTAATCCCTTTTCATATGTTCCTGCATAATTAAACGGTGATTATGGCTTCTAGTAACCTCAGAATGCAATTATTAATGTTTGAACAAATAATCAATGACTTCAAAATATATTACCAGTTCTACAGGTCTTTGAGTAGTCAAATTAAACTGGATCATATTAGGACATTCTTATAATTTTATTCAATGTTGGAATTTGTTTTAAAAATTATGGATAGAATAAAAAAGGTTTGGGTGTAGCAAAAGTAATTTGAGGATGACAGTCTCGTTAGAAAGAAGTATATCTGTATTATTTTTCAGAAGATAATAAGTTATGGTTGCATGCATCAGTCCTCAGCCAGTAACTTATTTTGCTGCACTGGGCATTTTTGCATCTTCCCCTTGCAGATCAAGCAGCACTATAGCACGATATGTGGTAAACTTTGAGAGAGATGGCTCAGAAATCAAAGGTACCCCAGATGACATCTCAACTATTGGATCTAATAAGGTTGAAAACGAAAAAATTCCACTTTTTCCAAAGGAAGAAAGGGAGATACCAGCAACTAAGCTCACAGTAACGGACCTTCAGCAACTGGTTGCTATAGCACTTCACGAAGACCAGTCCCTGCCAGTGGACCTTGGAACTCTTCAGTTTACTGATGGTCAGTAAGCAGACCGGTGCCTCGCACAAGGCTGAAACTTGTCCTTTCAAATTGATTCAATTTCAGTAAGGTCTCCTTTGCTTCTCTAACAGATTGTTTTCATTAGATGTATCCCATTCTCCTAAGTGTTGTATAACATCCAAAGGATGATTTAAGTTAAATTTTATAGCAAAATGTGCCTTTATAATTATACAGCTTAACTTCCAATCATATTGGAGGATCCATTTTTCTTGGTTGCTTGTTTAGAAAAACTGGATATTTTGCACACTAAGACAAATAAGAGGAGGAAAAAGAAAAAAAAATACTATGAATATTAACCATATCATTTTAATTTCACAGTATGGATAGTTGCCTTTCTTTAAAAAGTGAGAGCTTCCTCTAACACAAATTTAGCTTTCTGAAAGCTGAGTCTCAATTGTAAGCAAGCCATCTAACCTCCCAGTGAAGTCAAAGAGACGGAGACCTTAAAGTTTGATGCCAAGCTAAAAATGGTGGTGTGAAACACACTGTAAGAGTGCATTATGTTCTCTGAAACACAGGAGTGTAGATGACAAACCTAGGTGTGAAGGCGTCCAGCAGAAGGTTGAAGAGCAGCATCTTGTCCAGTAAACCAACTAATAAATATCCCCTTCTAGACCATCAATTAAATTTTTCAAAGCTAACACAGCCCTAGTTTTGGGGAGGTGGGTTTGAAATGGGGATAAATAAATTAAAATATTTTTATATGTATATTAATTAAACAATCTTAAAACACATACCCAATTTTAGCTGTAGTGTTTCATTTACACACAGCAGCATTTTCTTGGGAAAAAAAATTAGATTAACTAATACTCTCTTTAAGAATAAAATGTCATATTTTAATGTAGATTAGAAGTCCCAAGAAAAAAAATTCATGCATATAGAACACTTTAATAATAAGTATTTTAATCTTTTTCCCACTAGTTATTTTTAATAACCAGTTTTATTTACATGCAAGTGCATCTAAAGAGCTTCTCTAAGGGCGTGAAGGAAGCAACTGGGCACTAAAGCTAAAAAGCTGAGAGTAACAATAGTATGGACTCTGGGTAAAACTTAAGAGAATTTAGGTTTAATGAACAACACAATATAATGCGTCATTACATCCCATGCGAATTTAACTGAGCAGTTCGTATTTCAGCTGATTTTAAGCATTATCCATGGTTCAGCTCTCTGCACACTTATCCCATTCACACTAAATAGAGTACAAAAAATACACATAAAATTCCTGTTTCCCTCATAATTACCAGTTTCAATGGAAATTTATGCCTCTTTTTCTTCCTAATATGGATTTTTAGAAGTAATTTTTTGATGGATAATAGTTTTAATACTGGCTTTTACTGAATTTATGTGTCTTGATGAGTTTTCAGTGTGCCACTGCTGAAATATTGTGATCTCTATTTTTATTTTTTTTTTTCCAGAATCTATCATACCACCTAGTGATTTTGATAATGATATACAGTCCATGGTCACTATTCCTCTGGCAGGACCTGATTTGGTAAGTTAATACTGGTTGCTGTATTTATTTATTTCTCTGTGAGAGATGAAATAAACCAGTGTTAAGATATACATAAATACACAGAAAAAGGCTCATGCTGAAATACATACCTGCCTTTCATAAATGTTATAAGGATGAATGTTGTGTTGTTATACAGCAAGAGAGATACTGTTTAGAGCATTTACAGGAGAATATCACTGCTTACCTTTTCCAGTTTTAATTACAATGTCTCACCAGTTCAGTAGTAGATCTCAATAAGAGAAGGAGAGCAAGTGAGAGGGATAGTGAAAGTTATCTTTCTTCAACCATTTTTAAAAGTATAGCCAATGTAATTAGTATCACATGCACATGCCAAACATTTTATACATCCCACGACTTCATGGTGAGTTAGCTGTTTGCAAAGTCCTGTGCCTAAAGATTATTTGCCTCTTTGGCAATGAAAGCTGTTTTTTAAAAACTTTTTCAGGAGGACTCCATGAGTGTGGAACTCCCACTAGGTTACCCCAGCCCAGCAACAGTGGACCAAACAGGAGACATCTCGGTCAATGAATTTACAACTGGCATCCCTGTCCTAAGTGGAGAGATTAGTGCCCCTGAAGACTTTAATAATTTTGTTTCATCTGAACCTGTGTTTCCTACTACACCCTCCAGAGAACCATTTCAGGACAAATCGCCTCCACACACAGAAGATATCACTACTGACCACCAAAGTTTCACAGTGCCTTTTAATGCTCTGGGTAGCACTAGCAGTCCTCCAGAACCAGAGGATTCCGATTTGCCTCCTTCCACAGATGATTCTGCTAACAGTGACTTAGTCACCAGTGACTATGAGTCTCCAGTGGAGCAGGATACCACACTGGCATTTTATACCACAAGTAGCTTTACCCCACCTAATCTCCTGCAAGCTGGAGATGCGAATAGTGAAGCTGAGGAGAAGAAAGAACTGATGGATATAACAGAAGCAACTTTCAAGGAAGTTGACCAGGATAGTCCATCTGGACAAGGTAAGACACAAAAGATTTTTCCGTAAGAGAAAGTAGGAGAGATCCAGTTGTTATTACACATACAGTCATGTACAAGTACAGCAAGCATTCCTTTCAGCTGTGAAAGAAATTTTTCTGGACCATCGGAGGTGAAAAATTCACATTTCTGATGCCCACTACGGGAAATGCCTAATGTACTTGACTTCAAGGTTGTCAAAGCAAGAAAAAAACAAATCCCAACCCAACAACAAATGCCTAAGGGTAAGGCATGCTTTTTACAGGGTATTATGGTAAAAATTTAAAAAAGTAGAGCAAAAAGCCATGTGGGAAAGCACCAAAAAAAAGAGGAAATCCCAGGCTAACACAAAAAATTTTGATATTTAAAACATGAAAGTTAAATTACTTTGGGTTCTACAGAGAGATGTGGATAATGGCAGCAAGAGTATCATGAAATAATTTATTCCAAGCAAAGAGTATCATGGTTCAGAAAACTTTACATACTACAGGTTTGATTAATGTGAAAAACTTTTAGATATTTCTGTTTTCCATGTTTGTTTATTCAGATTTATCCATACAGTACAGTTTTTTAGAGGGACCAAGATATATGAGAAAAAAAACATAATAAATAAAAAAACTATATACATACGTATGTCTAGGTGGAGAAAAGTCCGTATAATTTAAGCTTTAAAATGAAAAATACATGATAGACATGTTTCCCACAGTTATTCTGGCTGAATATTCAGATGTGCTTTGTCTCAGATTTTTGACTGCCTAAACAGAAAAGCAGAAGGCACGTAAGAACTTCACAGGAATCAGCAGGATTCTCTGAAGTCCCCATGTAGTCTCTAAGCAACACTAAAAAATCTGCAGAAACAAACAAAAACCAAATTCAGGGCAAAATGCCCACAATATGCATTAGTTTGGACAACCAAACCCAGTGTTTCTTGATCCCCCAAAATGTCATCCTCAAAGCTTGTAAGTTTGCTCTCTGCTGCAGGAAAGTCCCCTGCTCCCTTAGAAGGCTCTGCTCTGTCGCTGTTCCACCAGCTCCCTCCTTGCTCAGTCCTTGGCCGTTCATGTCCCACCATCCACTCCAGAAGCCTCTTGGAGTGAGCATAGTGAACTCTGCTCCCCCTTTCAGGATGTTCTTCCTGACCCAGCAACAGCAAGAAGGCACCTTCATCCCTGCTGCCTGGCCTCATCCTATAAGGCAAACAGGCAATGTTTGCACAGCTGATTAGAAACAGCCCACTGCATGGCGATAACGCCCTTCACAATGGGCCCACACAGCAGAAATATGAGAGGGGGGGGGAATGCACATGTAGAGTACAGCTTACAGTGTTCTTTCTGGATCCAGTAAATAACAATATCGTCATTTTAAAGAACATAAAAGCTTCCACTTGCGAGCATACTCTAACTAGCTCCAGTAAGGGAAGAGCATAGCATATTCCATGACCTGCTGTTGCACCTGGTAATTTATGTACGGAATAAGAACTTCCCATTCTATACTCTTGCCTTCATACACAGAGTTCTGAGTTAGATAAAGGCAAATACTTTAGGATTAGCAGAGTGACTTAAAGACTAGAAAAACACTTCTTACAATAATCGTCAAATGTTCCTGAAAATAAATTTTATGATGAAAAGCGTTAAACACAACTATTTTCAAACACATGCTGTGAAATCTTGTAGTGCTACTGATAAAAGCACAGCATACCTTCAAATAACAGTACAGCATACCTTTAAATAACATTCATTATAACTGTGGAAAAAAGTTACATTTGTGGGGAAAAAAAAAAAAAAAAAAGTCATATGCATTTTTCATTCTATTCACTCATTGGGTTGGGGATTTAATGTCATAAAAACCACATAAAGCCACATATCTATCTTGTGATTTTCTAAATAGCTAAAAAACCTTGTAGCCTAACCGCTCCAAATGACTGAAGAGAAGCAGCAGAGGATAATTGACTCACCAAAAATGCAGAGCAACTTATGCTGAAGGCACTAGTTCCATTCTTTTTCTTCAGATCTAAAATTGTAAATAATTTGTTTATTGCAGTTTATTATAGTTACTGCCTAACTGGTTTTCACTGGATGGGAGGGGGCGTACAGAAGATGGACCCCTCTGGCCCCAAGGTTTGAGCTTGCTTGATTGTTCCCCATTGACAGTGTAGGACCACAGTTCATCCCACTCTCCCACAGGCTCTGATACCTCAGCTCAAAATGGAGATTAGATTCAGTATTTCTAAATGATCCTCAGAGACAATATATTGCATAGTTTAATGAGTTTCAATGTCATCAGGCAAACAGGAGGACCAAGGGAATTTTTAGGATGGATAATACAAATGGAAAGTTCACCACTTGCACAGATTTCTTCAACAGATTTTTCTCATATCATTTGAAATTCGGGAAAAATAATACATAAAGGTTTTTCTTCTTCCTAAAGCTATTATTGCCTGTGCCCACAGAACATGCACTTAAAGAGATGTGGACCTTCTGTAAGTGCAGCTTTGATCCTGTAAGCACGTGGTACTGACCCTTTAAACACTACTTTAAGTAATTGTTTGTTGCACATTTGGGTTGGAACCTCTCAATCTGCAAAACAAAATAAACTGTCCAAAGCTGTAAAAAAATCTTGTTCCTCCTTGTTGAACACAAGTTATGTCCAAAACAAGAATTTAAAAATCCCATCACTATCTCTGAGTAGCAGGAGAAAAATAATTGTTCCCTGTCTAAAACGAAGGAGTGATGTGTTAGCAATGACACAAAGCTGTAGTTATAGTATTTGGTTAAAAACTTACAGTACAAAAAACATACAGAAGAGAGATGTTGAAAAGCTATTTACTAAGCTCTTAAAAGCATAAATAGTATATACTTTTTAAAACTTTTTCTTTTTTAATAGTTTTTTTTTCAGTTCTGGCAGTCCTGTGTACAGCATTCCCTGTATTCTTTTATTTCCATAGATGTTGCATATTTATTAAGAACCAATAGAATTTGATCTGGAAATTCCAGACTTAACAACATTGATGTCTAAGGTCTTATTAAAGTCGACAGTGTTGGTGATATTAATATAGCAAGCAGAATTCCTTAGTAGCAAGTACAGAATATTTCATGCTTTGTGCCTGGCTTCATTTCATAGCTGCATTTCTTAGTAATATTTTTTTAAAAATAAACAAACAAACTTTTAACTGTTGCTGGTGTAAAACAGCAGGAAATACTTAGACAGTACTGTATGAGGTTGGACAGAAGGTTAAAGTCTAAAGAGTTGCCTGTAATTCTACTACATTATTTTCTAGCCACTTCCCCACCATACAGACCAGAAGGTGGAGCAAATTTTCTTCATCACATGTTTAGAACTTTAAATTCACTCTTCTTTACCACGAAGGAAGAGCGGGCTACCAGAAGTAACATAGTGTGAGATTCGTTTAGGTATCCCCATCAACTGTGTGTTTCACAGATGGATTTTATTACACCAGTTATCACATGGGTGTGACTACAGGCTGAACATTACCACAGACTCCTCAACATCGAATCTCCACAACCTATGTCTACTAATTTAATTGTGCCTACCGGAGGTCACTGAGCAAAGTAATAAAAAAAGTTTTTTCACATCTCCCAGAAAGATAATCAAACTCAGCCTCACACACAAAAATATACAGAAAGTTCTGCACAAAGCATCTTGGGAAAGGAGAGTGAAAAACTGGTGAGGGATGAGGACTCAAATTAACAAGAAGTGTCCTTTTAAGACATGCAGGATGGGATTGGGTAGACAGCGGGAAGAATGAACCAGGAGCAGATGTGAAGCTCCTTTTGTATGGTACTGTGCTCATTCTGGACAGTGGTGCTGTCCGTGGGCAGTAAAGAGCAGGCCAGTGAGGGTTAGACAGCTGTGCTGGCCAAACAGTGATGACAGTTAATCCACCCCTCGAAGCAGCTCAGTACTACTAGGAATATGCTAAGCTGTCTTTAAAGTAAGTCTAACCTTTGAATTTCAAATTCTGTTTTGGGATTTCACAATAGAATTAAGAGAAATCTCTGGTATAAATTTCCAGACTTCTTACTGAAAAGTTCTGACTGCTGTAGCACCTTCAAAATCTAGAGTATTTCCATTTTCCACTTACAACCAATGCAAACCCCCTGCTTTCATCTACTATCTGAGATGATACCTCTTCACTGTTCTCTAACATTCCTCCTTCTTCATATTTTTCCCCTCTGGAGTTAATTCATAAATATCTTTTCTGTACGGTTAAATTTCTTCACCCTCTCTGCAGCCTTCCTATGACTTGACTCTAAAACAATATGGCCATTCAGTAAGGAATACACTTGTGAAATGTATTAGACAGGTTGTTGTTTCAAAAACCAATAACATTTCAGCAGTAAAACATATATAAACAAATGTATAAACAGATAAAAGGATTCATTAAGTCGGCAACAATAATAATTATATACTTCCTAAACAGTCAGAAGAATTTTAATTTGTATCTGTTTTAATTGTAGCTACTAACAAATTATACATTCCAGGTAAATGGTTATCCCAAAATTCTGAAGGAATTATTCACCATTATGAAGGAAGCATTATTTCTGGAGAAGTTATTCCAGAAGCACAGGACAAAATAAAGCCAGCAGTAAAACACTTCAGCTATTCAGTTGTAGCACATCTCAGTCTCACCAGCCTGGATCATCCTCAGGCTCTCAAGAAAGACTCTTCAGGGTGGATCACGGAGTTTTTCTGTGAGAAAAAAATACAGGATGAGGACTAGATGGTGGTCACATATCTGTATGTGTAACTGATAAAAGCCTCATTAATTTCTGTAATTCCTCACTTGTTTACACAGCCTTGTTGTGAGTGGTTCCCTTTAGTATCTTCCTCCTGCCCAACAGTTAATTTAGTTGTGCACTCATCACTCACTAATATTTCTAAGCAATCTCTAGAAAAACTCAGTTTTCTGTCTGGGGATTCTTTCTGTCTCTGGTTCATCCCCAGCTGCCTAAGCACCATCTATGTTTAGCATAGCTTTCTATTT